GCCAGGGCCTCATGACCAACAAGCAGAGCCAAGCCATCCGAGAGCACCGGGCAGAAACAGAAAAGGTGAGACTTGCATTCCTTTCAAATCCATCTCCTTCCTTGATTTGTTGTTGTTGCTGTTGTTCGGTCACTAAGTTGTATCCAACTCTTTGTGAGCCCATGGACCACAACACATCTCCACTGTCTCCTGAGGTTTGTCCAAATTCATGTCCATTGCATTGAGGATACTGTCTAACCATCTCCTCTTCTGCTGTCCCTTTCTCCTTTTGCTTTCAGTCTTTCCCAACATCTTTTCCAATGAGTCCTCTCGTCTCATTTGGCGGCCAAAGTATTTGAGCTTCAGTTTCAATATCTGTCCTTCCAAAGGACTGTCAGGGTTGATTTCCTTTAGGATTGACTGATTTGATCTCCCTGGGGTCCAAGGGGCTCTCAAGACTTTTCTCCGACTCCACAATTTGAAAGCACGAGTTCTTTAGCGCTCAGCCTTCCTTATCGTCCTCCTCTCACAGCCATTCATTACATGCCAGTGAGCGCCAGAGACTCATTCCTCTTAATACATTGCAAATACCAGTTTTTCAAACTCTGGTCTTCTTTTATAAGGTGATCGGTATCAGTAATGGTGTTTACCTATCAGAGTAATATCATTTAATATTGCTTGCTTGGTTCCACCTTAGCTCAGAATCAATTCAGCCATTTTAAATTGTAAATTGGAGTTGTGGCCTAATGAATAATAATAATAGTAGTAGTAGTAATAATAGTAGTAATAGTAGTAATAGTAGTAGTAGCGATGATGATGATGATGATGATGATGATGATGATGATGATGATGATGATGACGACGATGATGGAAGGGACCTTTGAGGTCACCTAGTCCAACCCCTTGCTAAGGCAGGAAACCCTATACCATTTCAGACAAATGGCTGTCCAGTCTCTTCTTAAAAACTTCCAGTGTTGGAGCATTCACCGCTTCTGGAGGCAGGTTGTTCCACTGGTTAATTGTTCTAACTGTCAGGAAATTTCTCCTTAGTTCTAGGTTGCTTCTCTCCTTGTTCAGTTTCCATCCGTTGCTTCTTGTCCTGCCTTAAGGCGCTTTGGAGAATAGATTGACTCCCTCTTCTTTGTGGCAGCCCCTGAGATATTGGAACACTGCTATCATGTCCCCCGTCCATTGTATGACCCTAGCCCATTGGTTGAGCAAACAATGATTAACTACTCATAGCTCAGACAAATGGACTGGGTCAATATCACCTAGGAGGACAGTAAGCACTCAAGCACTCAGTATTAGTACAAGGGAATTATTTTGCTGTTTTTTTTAAAGAGCGTATGTGCAAAAATATTGTATTCTTTTTTTTTTTCAAATTTTTTTTTTATTATTTTCAACATAAAAAAAAAGAACACATCACAAGTACATCACAATTGAACCCCCCCCACCCCCCACCCGGTCTTCCCAAACCTAATCCCAGGATACTATTCATCTAAAAGTAACCTTATATTAATATCCCTAACTCCACAAGATGTAATTCTACATAAGTAGGTGAAATATATATATATGTATAAAAAAAAAGAAAATTTTTTATCTAAAAACCTAACCTATATTCCACCATTCTATGCTTATTTTGAATATAAACAATCCATCTTCTCCATATTGATAAAAATTGTTCATTTGAGTGATCCTTCAAATAAGCCGAAATCTTTGCCATTTCAGCAAGATGCGAAACCTTCACTCTCCAGTCCTCTATTGTAGGTAAAGCTTGA